CATCCCTGGAAGCTGTGAGGATATGATGTTATCTTGAATTTCCAAGTGTTATTCAAGTTGTTAATCAGCTCAACTTGCGATGGGAAGATTCTCCTGGACCATCTGGGTGGGCCCAATGTAACCACGGGGTCCTTAAATGTGGAAGAGGGAGGCAGAAGAGCCAGGGTCTGCTATGGACTGAATCGTGTGCCCACCCACCCCCTCTGGCCAAATTCATCTGCTGAAGCCTTAACCCCCAATATGATGGTATTTGGGGGTGGACCTTTGGGAGAAAATTACATTTAAATGTGGTCAAGAGGGTAGGGCCCTCAAGATGGGATTAGTGTCCTTATAAGAAGAGACCTCAGACAGCCTACTGGCTCTAGCAGGCTTACGCTCTTCGCTTTCTCTCCTCCGTGTGGGGACCCAGCGAGAAGACGGCCGTCTGCAAGCCAGGGAGGGAGCCTTCCCCAGAACAAGAGCACGTGGGCACCCTGACCTCAGACTGCCAGCCTCCAGGACTGTGAGACACACATCCGCGGTGTAAGTCACCCAGTCTGAGGTATTTTGTTACGGTAGCCAGTGTAGACTATGACGGTGTCAGAGTGAAGTCGTGTAAGAAAGACTCCAGCAGCCACTGCTGGCTGTGAAGATGGACGGAGGCCACAAGCCAAGGAAGGTGGGCAGCCTCTAGAAGCTGGAAATGGCAGGGAAACCTCTTTGCCTCCAGGAAGGAAGTCAGTCAACACCTTGATTTCAGCCCAGTGAGACTAGCTTGGACTTTTGACCTCCTGAGCTGCAGAAGAATCTCACGTCATTTTAAAGCACTCTGTTTGTGGTCATTTATCACTGCAGCCACGTCAAACTAATACCAGAGTCAAAGGAAACTAACGCTGTGTCAAATCTCGGCTTGATGGAGGTGGGCGGGCAGGTCTTCAACAGGTGCCTGGGGCAGGAGAGCAGTGTGTACAGACCAGCAGCAGGGCTGGATGGGAGACAGCCTGCAAACCACAGATACAGTCGTGATGCGCTCAGGAAGCAGTGAGCCGCCGGTCGGCCTGGAGCAGAGAAAGACTGGGGAGAACTGGAGATCAGTTAGAGGTCAGACGGGGCCAACCCATGACCAAGCAGGAGACGAGGCAGAAAGTCCCGCTGGCACATAAAGTAAGGAACATGAGATGGGAAAACATGTAAAGCAGTGTCAGGCATAAATGCTGAACTATTTTCACTGTTCCTTTAATGATACCGAAAACGGGGGTTCTTCTATGCACGCAGGTGCCTAAGGATGTTAAACGCTTTAATGATCAAACCACGATGGGGAACTTCTCCGGGACTAACTTCCTTCAGAGCCAGAATGACTACACAGCTCTCACGCTCCTAGCCAACCGTGGTTGCCAGCAGCTCAGTCTCTTGTTGAATATGCGTGGCTTATTCCTAACATCTAGTTCTAAAAAAATTTAATCTATCCTTAGACTCCTCTCCTAAATATATTCAAAAGAATGTGCTACTAAAAGCAGTTCCAGAGAAGAGATCCAAATGCCATGGAAGATGACAGCAGCTCACAGGACAAGGTGCAGCGTTTCCTCAGGTGACTTTTCTGAAGCAGACCACACTTGTTCTGAAATGAAGACTCCAGGATCAGTGTTCTGGCTTATTAAAAAAAAAAAAACTGACTCACAGCCCTGTAATAACTCAAACTTATATATAATATAAAGATGAATAAAGACAACAAAAATACAGGCCCCTGCAAGCCAGGCTGACGGTCGGCCTGCTGGGTGTGTGGCGCCTCAGAAAGGACCCAGACCGGTGCACAGGATGCTGTGCTCAAAATCCAGAGCAAACTACTCAACTTCCTTAAGCCTGGGTTGCCTCTGATCAAGTGGCAAAATGCCATTTGAAACAGAAGAGCACGTGCAGCGGGAAGGAGGCACGGAACGTGGCTCTAGGGGGCGGACGGCACATTACAGCAGGAAGGGCGCAGAGAGCTGGGAGGGACTCCGCCAGGGGTCTCAGTTCGGTGATGCCAGAAGCGGGATCGCAGCTGGTACTCCACAGTGTTAACCAACCTGAGGCCATGTTGGGGGCGCTTAAGGGGGCAAGTGGCAGTTTCATAGGCAAGCAAATTTTCAAAGGGTTAAGACCAATTTCCCCTCACAATCCACTTTAGCATATGAAACTCTTTGGCTAGTCCTGCAGGAGGAGAGACCTGCTTACCTGCGCTTCACCCCAATTTCCCTAAAATTGTAGAGCCCAGAGAGGCCTGTCTCCTCTCTCCCAGGCTCTTGAACTTCGTGAGGACGACAACGTGGACAAGAAGAAACACTGCGGAGAAGCAGCAGAGAAGAAACATCACTGGGTTATGTTTTAGAAGACGACTCTGGGCAGGTGAGGAAATGAGGCTCAGGGCACAGGGTCAGCAGCACAGGTCAGCAGGGCAGAGGAGACGCACATGGCGGTGAATTTGTAAAGCGGCTTCCGGACACCAAAGTGCTTACACCTTCTCCTTCCTAATGCTGGTTGGAAGCTACCCTGCTGGGCGCTGGGCCAGCCTCTGGAGCCTCACCAGTCCTTCCTCAAGGCTGGCAGCAGTCACGGAGCCCACATTTGCCCATTACTTCATTTTTTATTTCTGACCAGAACAACTTCTCAACATAGGACTTTAAGATCACTTCTGAACCTGACCAAAATATAAAAGATCCCTTTTACACAAGCCTTAAATTATAAAGTCGGAAAGCTCAATGAGCACAACACAGAATATATCACTTACGATACTTTCTGAAATCTGCTGTTGGTCCACAAAACTGAGCATCCATCTCTTGGTGATACCTCGACACGTGGTGGCCTGACTACAGCCCTGGCCCAGCCGCAGGCCAAGCGCCAGGAGCACCCTGAGAACACGTTCAACCCTCTGACCTCAGGTTCCTCTTTGTAAAACAAGAACGATTTGTTGTAAAGATGCACATAGTGTACAGAAAGCCCAGGTACGCAGAAAGTGTTCAAAAACAGAAGACCGTCACTACTGTCCCTCAATGCCGGCAACTTCATCCAGGAAAGGAGCTTTTCCCGGCGGCGCCGTCTTTCTGGATACTGAAACATCTGTCTCAGCAAATCTCAGTGCTGTGTTAAGAGGGGGAGTCTTATACTCTTTTTTTTTTTGAAATTTACTTTTAAATAAATAAACTAATTAAAATCTCCCTACGTGTGTTCACTTCCAGTTTGGTGTTAATCACTGAAAAGTAACTCCACTTCCTTCTTTCATAAAATCTGTGGCTGTCAGGCAGTCGATCAATATTTATGTACTGGCAAGCTAAGCCTGGTGGTGGGTTTTGTTACTGTTTTATGGTTTCTCTTTTAAAAACTGTAGTGGATTTTGAAGAATATCTGGATGGTAGTTTCTTAACCCTGGCATTAGTGACATTTGGGGCCAGGTAACTCTGCTGGGGGCTGTCCTGTACATCATAGGACCTTCAGCACCACCATGGCCTCTAACACACACACAGACACACACACACACACACACACACACACACACACACACAGGCTTTAGTTGTAAATAACCAAACTGCAGAGGGTAGGGGGCAAACCACCCTAGCTGAGAACCACGGATCTGCGTTCTAACCTAAATGGACTACTTTAGAGACAAGGAAACCAGGGCTAGAAGGTGCTAAGTGACTTTCTCCAGGGCACAACAGCTAGCACCACAAACCCCGGGTCCAAAACGCTTTCAAACTTAGTTGGGAACCAGCTCAAGTCAAGAACAACTTAAGTCCCATCTCTTCTTTGCTTTCTGGAACTTATTTCACAACCATTTGACACTTATCATAAACAAATTAATACCTGTCTAATCATTTTAATATCAATATAATGACAATTTATAAAATACGCAAAATAAAGGGAGGAAAAATATCTGTATAAAGTCACAACTCATTTAAAACAATCCTTTTTAGCATATTTCCTCCTGATACTTTTCCCTGCAGATGTGCTTTTCCACTCCTCTGGGTAAGTTGTTACTTTCCTCTTTCTCCCTGATGATAAGACAGCAGGACATGTATCAAGATATGTACACATATCTACCCATACATAAATACACACACACACACACACACAACTTGTTTTCCTTAGAATTCAGTGGACTCTCTCAATGAGACCTGAAATCTTTCTTTAGTTATAGGAATTTTTCAGCTATCATTTGAGGGAAAAAAAAATTCCCTCTTTCCACTCTCTTTTCCCTCTTCTGGAACTCCTGCTAGGTGGACGCTAACATTGACCCTCCTGAATCTGTTCTCAGTGGCTCCTAATTTTTATTTCACACTGTCCATCCCTTTCACTCCTTGTGTTCAGGCAACGTGGGGCCTCATTCCTTCTTCCTATGTGTATAGCCTGCCATTTAGCAAATTTCAGTTCTTATTTTAACAATAGCTCCCCACCGCCGCCCCCAAGCCTTTTACTGGTGCTTTTTCACCAGTGCCTTGCCCACTTCAGTAATTTAATAACCTCCCTTGCCCCTTGAAGGATCCAAACCATTTGTTCTTACTTTAAAGTTCTGCTCTGATTGCCTTATTAATTGTTTCGTCAAGTATGAGTTCTTCACTTCCTTGATTTGAGGGCTCTTCAAATGTTAGGCTATTCTTACTACTCTCTTTGAATGCAAAAGGCATTCTGACATGATTAATAGCACAAATCAAGTGACAGAGGCAGAAATGAGTCCGATGTCCTTCTGAGCCAGTTTGACAAAGCTGGGTCCCGCAGGGAGGCCATCAGAGGAAACTCAGCGGCTCTTCAGAGAACAAGAAGCAAAACATGGGACAGTGGGGGTGGGAGAGGAAACCCCAGGCTTGAATCAGAGTCACAAAATAAAACACACTTGCGAAAATTAAACACCCCAACTCACCTCTCTAATAGGCATGCCCAGAAAAACGAGTCTGGTTGATTATTCATTAATGGTAATCAGTATCATGGCACCAGGACTGCAGATACAAAATTTTCCACAAAGAAACCCCTAGGAAAGAAAGCACACTCACCCAGCCCAGAGATGTTTATTGCTTTCACGGATTTCTTCATTTTGTAAAGAACCATCCGGTCCACGTCCAAAGCCTAAAATACAGAGAACGTATTAATTAAAGCGTGTTTGAGCTTAGATCTCAGCTACAGAGGGCAGTCCGGTGAAGGCCCCTCGGGGGCTGCCTCTGTGGATAAATGCTCGGGCGGTGGGAATGAAGACAGGGCAGGTAGTCACCGCCTCATCCACCCGAAGGACCCAAGCTGCCTCCGCCCGCACTGCCCATGGTCCACCATCGCCCCCTCCCTGTGAATCAGCAAGGCCCGGGGACGTGCCAGCACGCCAGGGCCTGCCCCCAAATGGTCAAACAGACACACTTGGGTATTAAATCATCATCTTACAGGCCAGCTACCACACAGTAGGTGTATACAGCACTTATACACCCAGCGCATAGTAAGTGGTCAAACGTTTGTTCAATGACTAATCAAACCTGGAGATTTAATCACAGCTCTGCTTTCACAGAAGATGAGGGGTAAACTTTCCTTTTAACCCCAGTGAAACACCACAGAAGAGCAATGGGTGTCACTTTTAGTTGCTGTGACGTGAGGAACTGAGCACTGGTAAACAGGGACAGTGACACCAATCACAGGGTATTTGCAAATGAAATGAAGACCTGCAGGGAAGCCCCCAGCCCAATATCTGAGACCCAGGAGTTACTCAATAAAGTACTTACTACTCATTGTGAGTCTGAGCATAAAATAGTGCAATGACCTGTCATGTTAAACAGAGCACACCATCTCAGAGAAAGATTCTGGACTTCTGGGCGTCCTAAATCACCTTCTGAATCCACTTTCAATACCGGCTTGGTAAGTCCTAGTTCCAATGCAACAATGACTGTTCTTATCTTGTTAAATGCTAAAAACGGATATGATTGATGCTGACAGTTTTAAACAGAAAAATGATCACAAAGGCACCAGATATTTGACAAAGTGGTTAAAATACAAAGAGCTGTTATTAATAAAAAAGCACCATTACCCTCCTAATGTTCTCCTCTGAGGGCAAGCATGTGTTCAGCTCTGTAGCCCCAGTACCAGCAGAGAGCCTGGCAGAGAACAGGACTGAAAACACAGCTCAGGAAATGACCATGGGACTAGGAAGACCAACAAGGGCCCAAATGCAGGAACGGTGTCCCTGCTGAGCCCAGAGACAATGGGCAGCTACAGACGGCTCCTTACTCTTAGCAGGAGGGAGGAGAAGGGCACACAGGCCCCAGTGAGAACAACGGATCTGGGCAGGCAGGAAGTGGATACAGGGAAAGGCTACTCAAACGTGAGGGACCCAGTGGGGACACACAGTCGGGAGCCACCTGGGGCTCGAGGCAGCAAACATGCTGGAAACGTCAGTGAGTGCCCATCAGGACCTACTCTGCCACTCTCACCTGGGTCTCAGCTCTCCAGGCGCTGGCACCACCATCAATGATGGACCAATCTTCTGTCCACAAGGGTTCGGCTCAATTGTGCTGGGGAAATGGGAACCAGGGGTAATCAGGTATTTCAGTGTGGAAGAGATCGCAGAGAAAATACGCTTTATCACACGGCTGAACTCTGACAAATTCCCTCCCACGTTATACTGTGGGACACACCCTGCCCTGACCATTTACTGCACAAAGTCTTGTAAAAATACGCCACTATATGGAAATTCTACCCTTGTCATTAAAGGGACAAGCTGTTTCCTGAACTCACCAGGGAGTGGCTACGCAGTAACTGGCTTTCCTAAGTCTATTAAGAAGAGCTTGGAAGTAAAGTTGAAGCGAGTGGTGGAGGTAATTTTTAACTAAAATGACAAGAGAAAAAAGCAATTATTTCCCCACTCAAAAACACACCCTTCATTATAGTGCTTACTCACAGGTAATTAAGATTAAACTTGATCAGAAGAAGTTAAAAAGATTAAGACTGAGTGCTGGAAAAAGTCTCTGTCAATTACACATAAAAACAGCACTGGAATCTTAGAACAACAAAAACATAACAAAAGCTGAGAGTCTCAAGGAACCAACAGTTTCTACCAATTAGGCTGAGACTTGTAACCAGATCGGGAGCTCACCCACACCCCGCCCACTCCACACTCTACCCAAGCTTCAGAGAAGGGGGAAAAAGCTGCAATTATAACCAGAATTCATGTGGAAAAACTATAAACAGGCCAAAATCTAATAGACAATACAGCCCGAAGTAGGAACTAAGCCGCAGCCAAGTCTGACCAAACCTCATTAACTCTGAGGAGCGAGACTACAGCTGACCTTTCATTTACAAAGAAAATTTCAGAGAGTGAATTTATCACAGGGATGTGTCTTGGATATTTCAGAGGAAAATAAACAACGGTTTTCAACCACTTTCAAAGTGTCTCTCTGGATCCCCTACACAGTTTTATTAATAGCCACAGTTCTTATTTATCTCCTCCGAGTCCCTGCCGCCCGGGCGTGGCTATGCTCGGGGACGCGTGCAGCGTGGGAAAGGACAGCTCCGGGGTGGGGAGCGGGGTGCTCACACTTTTTCTTCTCAGACCCGTGCTGTCCAGGACAGCAGCCACTGGCCACAGAGGAATATTTAGAGTAAAATTAAAATGTAATAAAATTTAAAAGTCAGCTCCTCATGTCTTGCTACCTTTCTCAAGAGTGCTGGCCCCATCCCACGCGCTGCTTCCAGGCGTGCTGCCTTTAGGCTTCTCCTCTGTACCTGCAGGCCCCTCCGGGGGCCGTCCCTGAGGGTTGTCCCATAAGACACTGGCAGCATCTGGGAGTCCTTGCCCTCCTCCTTCCGTGGGCTTGGCACAAACGTCACTGTGTGACACATCCGTCTTCCTTGGGAGGGCTGACTTAGTCTGTTCCAAGAGCCCTACAGGGACCGCCATCCTGGCGCGGAAGCACCTATGTCCTGATGCTGGAATGTGGAACCAAACCCACAGTCTGAGATGAGCCTGGAGCATCCAGGGTCCACAAGCCACATCCTGCCCTCAGCCTGCTTTTACGCGGCCGTGAGCTAAGGATCTGTACAGATGAAACTTCCCAGTCCACGTAATCACGAGGAATTCTGACTCTGATCCAGCTAAGAGAAGCGTCATATCCCCAGAAGGACCCCACCTCCCATCAGCAGACCTGCATCACCAAACGTCACGCTCCACTGTTACTGTCCTTAGTTTGATTTTCATTAATAAAATTTTTTGTGGAAATTTATTTCCTCTTATTTTATAAGTATATACATAGTATCCTCAATTGTGTCTCTAGGCCCAGAAAGCCTAAAATATTTACTATCTGGACCTTTGCACACAGTGTACTGACCCCTGACCTGCAGATCCACACAGATGTTTCCCCAGCATCGTCAGCGAGCCCCTGCTCCTCCTGCCCTGACCTGAAGGCATTCGCCGGAGCCAGCAGCACAAGGCCAGCTTGGTCCCCAGTTCCCTACGGTCACAATTTGAGCCAGCAGGGGTGGGAAGGGGCTGGCTTACTCTTGGAACCCAGAGACGCTGCCCTGGAGGGGACGAGAGGACAGCGACCCATAAGCCTCCCTGATTCAGACCACATTCCAGGCCTGTCCTGTCTCATCACCCCCCATTCCTTTCATGAAAGGCCAACTGGAGAAGAAGGAATGGTATATTTGAAGGACAGTGGACCAAATAACAAAACAAAAGAATGCCCAGACCCATGTCCCAAGGACAGCTTTGCCAAGAGTCATACAGACGTTTAGACGGTGGTTTTGCCTCATCGCACATTTGACTTAACCTTGAAATAACAGAGAACGTAAATGACAGTGTCCAGTATTTCCAGAAGCCTTTGGAAAGCAGGGAAATGCACCGTAGCCTGCAGGCTCAGTGGAAAGCGAGAGCAATAATGGATCTACCTCCTCCTGGGAGTAAAGCAGAGGCCTGGAGAAGAGCAGGTGTCGTGGAGAATTAAGATGAGATACCCAGGCTAAATAACAGCGGTGTGAAATGCGTGCGTGAGGACAAACAAGAAGGACACACTCTGCATCACCTAATAAAATCCACGCTACTCACAGCATGCACCCATCTGCACCGGAAGAGACGCACCAGGATGTTTACGACATGCTTCAGAACAGCTGAAAACCGGACAAACCCAAATTCCTGTCGGTGGTGAAATGGACGAACTGTTGTGTATTCACATAACAGAATGTCACACAGCAATGGAAGCGAACGAACTTTACCTACTCAGGACACAAACGAAATTTCACAAAAATGTTCATTTAAATAAGCAAAAGCAGCAAGTTGCAAAAGTGAGTATGCAATGTAATGCCACAAAAATTCAAAAAATAGGCAGAATTAGATTATGTTTAAGGATTTAATTATGTTTATGTTTACGGATATAAATATTGCAAAGAAAAAATGAGAAAGAGCCCCAAATGCCCAACCTAGAGAGTAACCACGAAAACTACGGTGCGCTCACACAGAGTCCAGACAGTTGTCGCTGTGACTGAAGCCAACTGGGTCACCCTACGTGAAACCTTTAAGTGGAAAAAGAACACAGGCTATGCACAAATGCCCACATCAAGAAAAGAGAACCTTGAGGCTTGTAAAGTTGAAGACCCAAGTACCCACGGGCACTTCTCAGACCCCTCCCTGGCGACGTCAGCCCCCAACACAGGCCTTACTAGATCACTATTTTAGAGAAACGGAAACAGATGATGTGAACTCCAGCTTTATAAAAATGCTTTTACATCCTGATTTTATTGGGGGAAGGGAGGGAAGCTTCTGGGAGATCCGGGGGAGTCGAAAAGGGAAAGGCGAAATTTGGTGAAACAGCTACAACCCGCCAGAAGCAAAGAAAGGCACTCCCAGTCTTCCCAGTGCCCTGTTCCCGGGGAGACACAGGGGCAGGAGGGCCCGGCCTGGGTCCCTCTGACACATCCCATGGCGCGTTACTTGAGCTCTGCTCCCTGGACTGAAAAAAGCTCAGACACGAGGCAGGACACGGTTACCTCAGGAGAATAATCAGAGACAAAACAGGCATTATACCAGAAGATGCTAACACACTGCTGCAGGAAGCGGGAGGGAGGGGTGAGGGCGCCGCAGCGGACCAGGCACCCACAGGCCAGGCGATGCAGAAGCCGGAGAAGAGGCTGGGAAGGCGACCTCCACTCGGGAGCGAGGTCAGCCTTCCACATGTGTCCCAGTCCCACAAGACAATGTAGTCACAAGACAGGCTGATTTCCCCAGGAAACAGGGATCAAGCCACATGAACTTCACTTCAGTAACATAAACAGTGGAGCAGGGACTTGAGATGGCTGTTTTCTTCCCGAGCTCCCCACGCAGACGAGGAGAACCAAGGGAGACTTCTCTGCCGGGGGCTCTAGGTCTGCCTGGAGACATCACGACCCTGAGCCACTCGGGGGGGCTCTGTCCGCTCCCCTCACCCCTTGCAGCATACTGGCTCCACCACTCCAAACAGGCCCTCGGCGGAGGCCTTTCTGCTGGCAACTGGCTACCACATTTGTGTTCTGTGTGTTCTTTCAAAAAGTACCTCTTGTAACTGTGACCTGAGACTTTAAGCAGTACCTGCGTTGAAAATGGGAGAACCCATCATTCCATTCAAGTCTCTTAATTCCCTCCTAACACCCACATCTCTAGCTCCGCTCCCTACAGGAAGACGCCAGAAAGGAAAGAACCCAACAGAACGCGGTCTCAGCTCTGGGCCCTCAGCGCTGTCCTTTTGGAGAACGGTGCGGAAGTTGAAAACCACTCGTTTCAGAACCGGGCAGACGTGGTTCCGGGCCAGGCTCCACTAACCAGCAGCACAGTTTCAGAAAAATTACTTCACCTCCCTGACTTCGGTTTCTTCACCTGGAAACTGGGAGCAGTAACGCCTGCTTCACAGACGAGGTCATCGGTGTGGACAGGACCTGGAGCGCTCACGGCAGGCCCCAGTACCCCGCAGCCGTTACGAGGGTGCCTCTGGTCCTCAGAGGGGCTCCGGCTACCCTGCACCTCCCACCAGGGACAGCGGCTGGTCAGAAACCCCACCACCCCGGTACTGTCCCAATCGACGGGATACGTACGTGTTTTCAGATCTGACAACGGCCATGATAATGAGGAAAAAGTCTAAGAAAAAACATCTTTGTAGCTCACGCCAGTCTTTCACTTCTACTGCCACAGATTTTTCCCCATCAACATTTAAATTCTTCAAAACTTTTCCTGGTATGTCTCTGACTCACTAAACGGATGACAGAGCAAAGACAGGGGGGTGTCCTGGGTCACTCGTCCCCTGACTTTACCACTCAGGAGTGTGGAGCCCCAGGTCGGAGCTGCGAGGGGAGTGGAGGGCAGCCTGGCTCTCAGGGGCAGGAGGGGAGTTCAGCGGGCTTCAGCGGCCGCCTCCTCCAAAGTTCAGGACATCATCTCCCTTACACCCTGGTCCCTGTGCTTCCTCTAAGCCGGTCCAGGGGCGCGGGCACCCCCGCCCAGACCACCTGTGTAAGTAGCCCGGCGTTTCAGACCCTTCCCCAGGGCTGGGGAGGCATGGACGAAGGTGGTGGGTGGGGCCGCCACCATCTGCATCTGTCCAGGCGACGCAACCTACTCTTGGGCTTTCCAAGGGGAAGATCAGACAGACGACCGCCGTCCTGCCGTGTCTGGATCTTCCATTTCCCGGTTCCTGTTTTCCATCCCACAGACTCGGCGCCCTGCTCTGCGGTGGAGTGGGAAGTAGGGAGGAGGGAAGCTGAGACAGGGGAAGGGAGACAAGAGGAAGCAGGACCCAGCAGGCTTGCTGAGACTGCCGCCCACAGCGCCTCCCTTGAGATGCAGCAGAGGGAGTTTCATGAGAAAAGGACAGCGAAATAAGGCCAACGCACTAACTGGGTCCCTTGCGCCCCTCCTGCTTCACCGCACGGTGCCTGTCCTCCATCCACGCTCCCTAGCCCTCAAGGCTGCATCTCTGGGAACTAACCTCTAATTTTTCTGCAACCCAAGTAGTGCAGTGACAGGGAAGGGGAAAGATAAACTGGGGGGGCCAGAGGTGCACAGGAACCATCCAGGCATTTTCCTCCCCTAGACCACACACCTGCACCCCACTTTGCCCCTGTGACCCCAGCTTATCGTGAGAGCGCCACTGGAGGAGAAAGACTATGGCTTAGGACACAGACCTGGCCTTTCATTCCCACATCTCCACACACGAACGACTGGATCTGGGCCTCAGCTTCCACATCCCTAGAATGGGGCAACAGCATCTACTTGCTAAGGCAACGGAAGTTACACCACGTGGGTGAGCACTGCCCTGGCCTCTGGAAAGCATCCAGCAGCTTGGCAGGAAGAGCAGGTTGCAGGGCCGGACGAGAGAGAGGGTGAGGCTGGATGTGGGGAGAAGTGGGGAGGGCAGGGCAGGTCCCCGTCACCGAGGAGCAGCGGAAGATAGCAGGATGTACAGCCAAAGGCCAGATCAGCTCTAGGTTGGCCGGGGCAGCTCCCGAGGGTCATGAAAGGCTGTTTATTTTCAGCATCTGGGGATGTGAGCATTTCTCCCCAAGGAAGGGCTTCAGACCATTCGTTTTACTTTCTTTGTTCTCCATCCAAAGAAAAGAAATGCAAAACCCCAGCTAACAGAACAAGAAGGAGAGCAGGGGACCAGATCCCGCAACCCAGGGAGAGGCCCCCTCCTGCCTGCACCCTGGGGGCTGCCAGGCAGACCCCGGGGACCATCCTCATCTGTCCCTCCAGCAGGACACGACGTCCGCTGCACACTGCAGTCCCCTGGGAACCCCAAATGCAGAGTCCTAGAAACAGATGCTGCATTTAATGGTGCTGCTCGCTCAGCCTGAAGGGTGAAGAGGAGCAGAGAGAGACGAAGATGAAGGTGTATGACATGAGTAAAGATATTCTACGTTTCTCAGACCAGAACGCTACTTGCTTTGAAGCCACTGTGCAGAGTATTTACTATCCCTCAAAAAAGCAAAAATACAAATTATTTACTATTCCTCAAGAAACCCGAGGAAGTTGCAAGAGGGCACAGACAAGAAGGCAGCTTCTCCAGGTGCTGCTGGTTCAAGCCACACAGCCCAGGCTTCTAGGAAGGTTTACACTTATTACAGTGACCCGAACAATGGATTGTGCAAATGAAGGGGTGAGTATGGTGGCAGGGAGAGGGCACCAACCGGCTCTGTCACCTACTCATATGGTGGCCCCGCTTCTCCTCGGAAGTTCCAGATGTAAAATTCTATGAAACCACTGTCTTTAAGACAGTTTGCATGTCAGCTATCTCTCCTAAAGAGGGATGACAACTGTACTCAAATACATGTGACGCATAGATTAATTTTCCAGGAATTCCTGCCTGAGAGTCTCAATAGAATCAATTAATGACTAGCTATTAATACTGTGAATAATCCCTATTCCACATGTAAAAACAAGTATTTGGTAATGGCAAAAAGTGACTTTTAACTAAAAATTCCACATTTCCCTGGCTTGGACTTCTCAAAATAGACAGGAAGAAATGTAAATTGTATGTCAGTACAACTTAACAGAAGGTCAAGATACAAACACGAAAACATCAGCAGTCGTACTGGGGGTACCAGTAGTGACAGGTCTCTCACATCTGCATAGCACTTTGAACACAATGTGCTTTTACACATATTACATCTGGTGGGCCTCAAACACAGGTAATGTTACTGTAACAAAGCAGAGGCGAAGGCTCAGAAAGGTGAAGTTATTTTTCCAAGGCCACAGAGGGAATGATAAAACCAAAATGCCACCTTTGTAATTTTCTTTCAGTTAAAAAAAAAAACTTTTTAAAAATTCTTTTTATGGCCGAGTAGTATTCCATTGCATAAATACACCACGATTTCTTTATCCAGTCACTTGTTGATGGACATTTAGGTTGTTTCCATGCCTTGGCTACTGTGAATAGTGCTGCTATGAACACTGGGGTGCATGTATCATAAAATAATGCCATTTGCAGCAACATGGATAGACCTGGAGATTGTCATTTTAAGTGAAGTAAATCATAAAGAGAAAGAAAAATACCATGTGATATCACTCATATGTGGAAATCTAAAAAAAAGAAAAAAGAAGACACTAATGAACTCATCTATAAAACAAAAGCAGACTCACAGACATAGTCAACAATCTTATGGTTACCGGGGAGAAATGGGGTGGGGAGGGATAAATTAGTGAGTTCAACATTCGCAAATATTAACTGCTATATATAAAAATAGAGAAAAAACAAATTTCTTTTGTATAGCACAGGGAACTATATTCAACATCTTGTAATAACCTTTAATGAAAAAGAATATGAAAACAAATATGTATTTTATATATATATGTAACTGGTACATTATGCTGTACATTAGAGATTGACATATTGTGACTATACTTCAATTTAAAAAATAAAATAAATAAAAATAAATAAGTTTATTCTGTATAGCATAGGGAATAATATTCAGTATCTTGTAAGTAACCTACAATGAAAAATATGAAAACGAATATATGTATGTATATGTATGACTGAAACATTATACTGTACACCAGAAACTGACACAACTTTGTAAACTGACTGTACTTCAACTTAAAAAAAAACTTTCACATTATCTTAGCTTGTTGTTCTTTCTGACATCATGTGCTGTTTCCTTAGTCTCTTCAAGGTAAATGACTATTTATTCCAGGGAATAAAGCCAGGCCTATCAGCTCCTTCAGGTCGGGACCCCCTGATTTCTTGTCTCCGAATCTCCACCGCCAGCACAGTGCCTGACACCTGCAAATGCTCCATGAACAAGGAATGAACGAAGCCACACCCGTCTTCTCTAGTTTACACCAAACAACATGGCGGCAGGCCGTCCAGGAAAGAATTCTCACGGAAGGCAACCACAGTCATATCCTGAAGAAAGCAGCAAGTCATTAGAAGGCGGAGGAGCCCCCAGCAGGGAGATCACAGTCAAACAAGCAGGGCCTGGCAGGACAAATGGCTAAGGGATAGTCACCAAGTGCCCCATCCATTTGGTCAGTGGCTTTTGAAACATAATTCCTCTGTATAAAGTGGATTTAAAAGATATCTTACTAGAATACAAACTGTTCAAACATATAACATCACATAAAAAGAATCAGCAAAACCCATGAGGCTGTGTTCATTCACTTGAAATGGGCCCCGTGGGTGCCAGCAGCCTGTA